AGGAAGGGCATTTCTTTCTTTCTTTTTTTTTTTTTAAGATTTTATTTATTTATTCACGAGAGACACAGAGAGAGAGGCAGAGACACAGACAGAGGGAGAAGCAGGCTCCTCATAGGGAGCCTGACGTGGGACCCAATCCCTGGACTCAGGATCACACCCTGAGCAGAAGGCAGATGCTCAACCACTGGGCCACCCAGGCATCCCAGGAAGGGAATTTCTATGCTAAAAATAGGATCATTAAACTTTAAATGATGTCAGTGAGATGTGAATGGCACAGATAGCTCTCAATAATGAGTTTGCAGTCTAAAAATTGGATAGTGACCCTGAAAACTAAAAGATTTTTGTCTAGGAAAGTGAAAAAGGATATAAGGGAAGGGGGTAAATCAGTGATTTCCACGCTTTGGCAAGCAGCATATTTACCTAGCAAATTTATTAAAAATACAAATATCCAAGCCTCATCCTCTAGATAAGGAACACATGCCTTAACAACCTGGTTAAGTGATTTTGTTGAATCCTAAGCATTGAAAACTACTGGATAAGATAAAGGGGGAAAGTATAGGAAAACATTATGAAATTAAGGGATTGGAGAAGTTGGGGATCCCTGGGTGGCTTAGCAGTTTAGCACCTGCCTTTGGTCCAGGTTGTGATCCTGGGCCTGCCTTCGGTCCAGGGAATGATCCTGGAGTCCCAGGATCAAGTCCCACATCGGGCTCCCGGCATGGAGCCTGCTTCTCCTTCTGCCTGTGTCTCTGCCTCTCTTTCTCTGTGTCTCTCATGAATAAATTAATAAAATCTTTAAAAAATTCAAACCTACATGGTCTAAGTTGTGACTGTAAAAGAAAACTATAACACAGGCCTATTTACTAAATAGTTTATATGGAATTTCTTTTTAAAAAATATTTATTTATTTATTTATTCATTTATTTATTTATTCATAAGAGACACAGAGAGAGCAGGGAGGGGCAGAGACATAGGCAGAGGGAGAAGCAGGCCCTACACAGGGAGCTGGACGTCAGACTCGACCCTGGGTCTCCAGGATCATGCCCTGGGCTGAAGGCTGTGCTAAACCGCTGAGCCACCTGGGCTGCCCAGTTTATGTGGAATTTCAAGCTCAACTTTTCAAAATGAAATATAAAGACAAATTTTTCTAGCTAAAAAAAGATTTAGGTTACTATAACCCTATGCATGTGGTTGAACTCTGGGAATCATTTTTAGTATAAATACTACTTTTCACCACATTGCCTAAGTATATATAATTGACATGTAGTAAGTATAGGCAGTGATGCTATCCAGGGTGTGTCTGGAAAACAGTGGTTTTCCCTAGTTCTATTTAAAAACTGACTTTAGGGATCCCTGGGTGGCGCAGCGGTTTGGTGCCTGCCTTTGGCCCAGGGCGCGATCCTGGAGACCTGGGATCGAATCCCACTTTGGGCTCCTGGTGCGTGGAGCCTGCTTCTCCCTCTGCCTGTGTCTCTGCCTCTCTCTCTCTCTCTCTCTCTCTCTCTCTCTCTCTCTCTCCGTGTGACTATCATAAATAAGTAAAAATTTAAAAAAAATAAATAAATAAAAACTGACTTTATAATAACATGTTGATTTTTCTGGAAATCTTTAAACCTCTCAAGCAGTCTTATCTAGATGGTTTTACTGCCTTTGGTGTGTGGTAGAGGGGCCCTGGCACGCAGTCTCCCTCGGGACAGAGCCTCTCATTTTTCCACGTGCCAGGTGTGCTTCTAAGGGACCATAAATGAGTCCCTCCCACGAAATTGCCCTCAGCTGAAGGGAGCTGCCTCACCCAAAATTAGCCTCTTGGATTCAGCCCATACCCCAAAACTGGGCACTATAAGGGTACAAAGTCTCCACTTCTTTACCTCACTTTTGTTCATCTCTGAATGGCCAGTTTCAGAGATTTTGTGAGATGAGCTGAGGCCTGTGTTGTAAAAGCATCACTGCTCATTTTCTTCTGTCCAGTCCTGCTGCCCTCACTCCCTCCCAGTGGTAATTCCTGAGGGAAGTCCCTAATATCCCGCCTGCTTATAAAGTCTGTTTCCTGCAAAACTCAACCTACCGCATGTGTATACTTATGGTTCCAGCTAGGTTATAAATCTGTTATAAAAATAATGTCTCATCTTTGCTAAGTCCCTTAGTACTAAAGCCCTAGGCTTATATAGTTGATATCTTCAAGAACATAGAAATAGGGAGGAAGATCAGGGAAGCTAAGACAGGAAAGAAACTATTATGAAAAAGACCATTCCAAAAATGAAGAAAGAGTTTTTCTAGGCAAATTCCATATAAATTAATCAACCAATCCAATATGTAATGAGAGCCTACTGTTTCCAAATTTGGGAACAAAAATAGATATGAGCACTTTTAAGTAGAAAAAAAGGCAAATAGGAAAAAATGATATATGATGTAAAGGCTATAGGGATAATTTATATGGCTCAAATTACAAATCATACTCTGGAGGCTTTGAGACATGACCTGAGCACTGAAAATGTTACAATGCTTTCTCATGCTGTGACTTTCCTAATTAACAGGATTAATCCATTACTGGAGGAGTCAGTAATTCTAGAACTAGACCTGAGAAATTGTATTTTTGCCTTTTTTACATCCATTCCCTTTCTTTCAGTAATTTATCTCTATTTTTTAGGGGAACAACCCTTCTCTTGTGTTTAGTCCATGTAGTTTCAGTGAAGCTTAGAACAATGAACTATTGGTTTTATCCAAGCCTGGATAATTAGTCATTTTGACTCTGGTTCAGGGATGGGTATCTGACCTTATGAGAGTCAATCACTCCATATTTGCCAGAACTATTACAAAAGTATGTGTATTTCCCTCTGCTACTTCATGAGGAAAGCTTGACTGAAAATGAGGCTGACTGGGAAGAATAGAGAAAGGGAGACCATAGTCTATAGGTGATTGAAGTCCTGGATCCAGCCATTCTTGAAGCTTGACTTCTTCAGTTAGAAAAGGTAATACATTTCCTCTGTTAGTTTAAACGACTTTGAGCTATATTTCTGGCATCTGCAATCAAGAGTCTTAATACAAACTTAATGAATTATATATGGTATCTCCAGCATCAATTCCCATACCCATACTGGAAAAAGGCAATCACATGTATGTATTTATCAATTGTTGCAACTCTGCTTTCTTTAATGCATGCAGATCTCCCGAGACTGTCACAAATCTTCTGTGAACAGAATGTTGTCTTTTTTTTTTTTTTTGTAGTAAACTCTACACCCAGCTGGAACTCATGACCCCAACACAAAAAGTAGAATGCTCTACCAACTGAGCCTGCCAGGCACCCTTCAGAATGTTATCTTTGGGGATCCCTGGGTGGCGCAGCGGTTTGGCGCCTGCCTTTGGCCCAGGGCGCGATCCTGGAGACCCGGGATCGAGTCCCACGTCGGGCTCCCGGTGCATGGAGCCTGCTTCTCCCTCTGCCTATGTCTCTGCCCCCCTCTCTCTGTGACTATCATAAATAAATAAAAATTTAAAAAAAAAACCAGAATGTTATCTTTGTATTCAGTTCTAGCATATCTTACATACTGAAATGTCCTCACTGGTCTCCACTTGTCTGTATACTGTCATCTTACAGTATACAGGTGTCTATTTCTCTCATGGACTTTTCCAGAATGTCTTTCTATTCTTTTATACCCAGTTCCAACCCTAGATCCTAAAATAGTTTTTCCCTATTCCATAAAAATAGTTCTGCATCTTTTTAGGCCAGTAGAAGCTTTTCACCATAATTCATTCTATCATAATTGTGAATAAGGAGACTTAGATTAGCAGGAGACTAAAGTTCCTAATATGGAAAGGTCTGGGAAGACTGTAGCATTAGGGACAATGCATTTACATTTATTTAAATGACATAAGATGGCAATCTGGATTGCCTAAGAAAGGTCTTAAGAGGTAAGTTTGCTTCAGTCAGAGAAGTTGACAGAATATTTTTTGCAACTTGCCACAAATGTAATCTGCTTGGGAGTTTAATGAGACTATAACCAAGTGAGTAGGTCTAGATTCAGATAGGAAGGGGAGATTAAATTGGAGGTAAGTTGAATAAAGAAAACAGCTCAGGATTTGGATTTCCACCCATCTAGACTTGATAATGTTGCATTTTCATTCTAATTCGAAGTATGTTCTAATTTTCTTTGTGATTTTTTGAGCTAGGAGTTACTTGACTTAATCTGGGGATTCCCTACATTTTTCCTAGGTTTCCTAGGGTTCTCTTTTTTTTTTTTTTTTTAACTTAATTCCACTGTTGTCAGAAAACGTACTTTGTATGATTTCAACCCTTGTTAATCTATTGAGGCTTGTTTTGTGGTGTGACACTATAGGACCTATCCTGGAGAATGTGCCTTGTGCACGTAAAAATTACACATACTCAACAGTCTTTAGATGCGTTGTTTAATAAAAATCAAGCCAAGTAAATTTTAATCTCATTGACTTTATTAATCGATTAATGGATCAGGCAGCAACCGATCTAGCCGGAAGAGGGGAAGGGCTACAGAAAGGGAAGGGCTTTATTTTTTATTTTTTTTTAAATTTTTTTTTAATTTATTTATGATAGTCACAGAGAGAGAGAGAGAGAGAGAGGCAGAGACACAGGCAGAGGGAGAAGCAGGCTCCATGCACCGGGAGCCCGATGTGGGATTCGATCCCGGATCTCCAGGATCGTGCCCCGGGCCAAAGGCAGGCGCCAAACCGCTGCGCCACCCAGGGATCCCGGGAAGGGCTTTAAAAAGCATGACAAAGTAGTCATAAATAGGATAGGGCCGAGCGCCACAGGCCTACCTGGTCCCCTCGGCCCGCCCTGTCTGGGTCCCCAGAAGCTGGGCCCGTCTCTGCCCGTCGGCCTCCTGCCGGAAGCCCGGCCTGTAAGCAAGGATCCTCCGCAGACGCTTCTGGGAGGTGTAGTTTTCTCCGGTCGCCGTTGGGTCCGCGGACTCCGCCATGACGTACTTCCGCTGCGCCGCGCCCGCGGCTGTGGTCAGGTACGTTCCTCCGGGGCTGTTTCCGTCTCGGGTTTGGGGACTGGAGCCGGCCCGCGGATTCCTGAGCTTCTGTGGCTCCGGGTCCCAGGCGGCACAGAGTCAGCCCCCTCCCGGCGCGTCCCGTTCCGAACAGGAGCTTGGCCGGCTGAGCCCCCACGGTAGGTCTGGGGCGTGGTCGCAGCCAGCCGGGACTCGAGGTCACCGGACAGCCTCGTCGCCGCGCCCGCTGTGGCGTGCTGCGGGCTGGGCGGTGCGGGAGGTCCCTGCCGGGTGGGCGCGGCTGGGCGGCGGGGAGCCCTCACAGCTCGGTTCTCTGCCCCGCAGCCTGCTCGGAACAGCGCGGGATGGCTGGCCGGTTCCGGAAGGCTTCGTGTTGGGTAAGTAGGGACCTCCTCGTCTTTAGAAGCTGCCCGGGCACCGAGGGCGCTTTCGTCCAGGGCCCGCACTGTCGCGTTCCCGCCGCCTTCCTCCCCGGCCTCTCATCTCCGTGTTTCTGGCACTTTGTCCCGGGTCCCCTCCCTCCGAGTTCGGATCCGTTGCCCGTCGCGGCCCCCGACCTCTGAGGGTCGTGAGGGTCCTTGTCATGGAAGCCGGAAGGAGCCATGTCTGAGCCGGGGCGTGGAGGCCCCGGACCGTGCTGCTGGCGGGGGACCCTGCGGGGAGCGCTGAACTTCCCGCTTCCTGCACAGCGGGCGTTGCGGCCCCCGGCTCCCCGCTGGGAGAACCTGGCCGCCGAGGTGTGGAGTCTGTCTGCGCCGCCCAGTCTGCAGCTCCAGGGGGAACCCTCTTCTGGAAATACACAGATGTTAGCGGAAGCTCGGGGTGCGATGGATCCTCCGGTGTGTGGCGAAGACAGGGCAGGTCGGGTGCAAGACAGGTGCGTGGAGAATGACTCTTCCCGCGCAAATGTGGGAAGAGAGATCTTCGGAAGAGCCGTGACAGGAAATACCTCAGAAGAGTGTTTCTCTGGGACTTCGGTGTTCATGAGTCTTAAGGAATTTCTTGGTACCGGACAGTGGGTTGGAATCGTCACTTCTTCTTCTTCTTTTTTATTTTATTTTATTTTATTTACGATAGTCATAGAGAGAGAGAGAGAGAGAGAGGCAGAGACACAGGCAGAGGGAGAAGCAGGCTCCACGCACCGGGAGCCCGACGTGGGATTCGATCCCGGGTCTCCAGGATCGCGCCCTGGGCCAAAGGCAGGCGCCAAACCGCTGCGCCACCCGGGGATCCCGGAATCGTCACTTCTTGAGGGTGGTTGGCGCGCTGCTAACTGGGTTGCATGAGGTGTTGGACAGTGGGATGTGCAGTGACTAGTGACAGCAGAGACCCCTTCTAGGTGGTATGACACTTCAGGTGTTACAGGAAGATGATGGGTGCCAGGAAGAAGGCCATTCACTGAGTGGCGTGAGTGATACAATTGACCGTAAAATTAAGGATCTGTTTATTATTTTGTCTTTTTAAGTAATCTCTGTGCCCAACGTGGGACTTAAACTTACAACCCCGGGATCAAGAGTGGCAAGCTTTACTGACTGCCCCACCTGGCACCCCAGGATGTTTTCACTCTTTAACAAATAACTGTATGGAAAATGCAGTGAGACAAAACATTGTATTTACAGTAGCAATAAAGAAAAATAAGCAAACAGAATCACATGAAGAATAAGTAAGGGAGATCAAATGAAGGATTGAAAGGATTACCCCATTGAGTGGGTAATAATAGGCACCACTCTTGGCTAGGCACTTTGTGTGTACGGAGTTGTTAGGGTCTCAGGAGCCCAGGAGGCTGGTAGGTCCCCACCTTACAGGTGAGGAAACTGGGAAGCCTGTCCATGGCCCCACACTAGTAAAGGATCCAAGGAGACTGGGCTTGCAGAGCTAGGACTCAAGGCACTATCTTCAGACTTTGTGCCTTTTACATTTTAATGTGAACAGTTTCTCTTGTGCTTGAGTGCACATATTAATTTAACAGACAGTTACTGATGATTACACCAGGTAATTTCTAGGGCATGTAGGGATGAACAAGATTGACAGGATCCATGACCCTGTGCAGGGTCTGGGAGATGGTTAAACAGAATCACAAAAGATGTGAATGTTACGCAAGTGAAAGAGAGCAGCTAAACGGCTACTTTAGATTGGCACCCCTTTGCAAGGCAACATTTAAGTAGCATTTGATGGACAACTAGATGACCGTGGGATGGTGGGGGTAGCAGGGGAGGAAGCATTCCAGACGTTTATTTCTAGGGTTGCACTCCAAGCAAATTGGCAGCTGCCTCTGGTGGAAAGAAAGCCTGTGGGTGGAGTGGAAAGGGATGGCTGTCCAATTTTCGCAACACCATTTACTGAAGAGACTGTCCTTTTTCCAGTGGATAGTCTTTCCTGCTTTGTCAAATAGTAGTTGACCATAGAATTGAGGGGCCATTTCTGGGTTCTCTATTCTGTTCCATTGATCTATGGGTCTGTTTTTGTGCCAGTAACACACTGTCTTGATCATAGCTTTGTAGTACAACTTGAAATCCGGCATTGTGATGCCCCTAGCTCTGGTTTTCTTTTTCAATATTCCCCTGGCTATTTGGGGTCTTTTCTGATTCCACACAAATCTTAAGATTATTTGTTCCAACTCTCTGAAGATAGTCCATGGTAATTTTTTTTGAATTTTATTTATTTATTCATGATAGTCAGAGAGAGAAAGAGAGGCAGAGACACAGGCAGAGGGAGAAGCAGGCTCCATAGAGGGAGCCGGACGTGGGACTCGATCCCGGGTCTCCAGGATCGCACCCTGGGCCAAAGGCAGGCGCTAAACCGCTGCGCCACCCAGGGATCCCCATGGTAATTTTTTTTTTTTTTTTTTTTTTATAATAGTCACACAGAGAGAGAAAGAGAGAGGCAGAGACATAGGCAGAGGGAGAACCAGGCTCCATGCACCGTGAGCCCGACGTGGGATTCGATCCCGGGTCTCCAGGATCGCGCCCTGGGCCAAAGGCAGGCGCTAAACCGCTGCGCCACCCAGGGATCCCCCGGTAATTTATTTTTAAGTATTTATTCATGAGAGACATAGGCAGAGGGAGAAGCAGGCTCCACGCAGGGAGGTCTTTGTCTGGCTTTGGAATAAAGGTGATGATGGCCTTATAAAACGAGTTTGGAAGTATTCCGTCCCTTTCTATCCTTTGGAACAGCTTTAGTAGAATAATAGGTATTGTTTCTTTTTTGAATGTTTGATAGAATTCCCTGGGAAGTCATCTGGCCCTGGACTTTTGGGAGGTTTTTGACGCCTACTTCAATTTCTTCCCCAGTTATTGGCCTGTTCAGGTTTTCTATTTATTCCTGTTCCAGTTTTGGTAATTTGTGGTGTTCCAGAAATGCATCCATTTTCTTGATTGCCTAATTTATTGGCATATAACTGCTCATAAGTTTTTAAAGTATTTCCTTGGTATTGGTTTTGATCTCTCGTCTTTCATTCGTGATTTTATTAATTTGAGTCTTTTTTCTTTTTAATAAGGCTGGCTAATGGTTTATCTATCTTACTAATTCTTTCAGAGAACCAACTCCTGGTTTTGTTGATGTGTTCTGCAGTTCTTCTGGTCTCTGTTTCATTGGGTTCTGCTCGAATCTTTACTATCTCTCTTCTTCTGCTGGGTGTAGGTTTTATTTGCTGTTCTTTCTACAGTTCCTTTAGGTGTGAGGTTAGCTTGTGTATTTGAGTTTTTTCCAATTTTTTTGAGGGATGCTTGTGATGTATTTCCCTCTTAGGACTGCTTTTGCTGTATCCCAGAGATTTTGAACAGTTATAGCTACATTTTCATTAGTTTCCGTGAATCTTCTCTTTTAAAGATATTATTTATTTGTTCATGAGAGACACGGGGGGTGGGGGGGCAGAGACACGGGCAGAGGGAGAAGCAGGCTCCATGCAGGGAGCCTGAAGTGGGACTCTATCCCGGGACCCCAGATCACACCCTGGGCTGAAGGCAGGTGCTAAACCGCTAAGCCACCCAGGGATCCCCATCCATGAATCTTTTTAATTCTTCTCTAATTTCCTGGTTGACCCATTCATCTTTTAGTAGGATGCTCTTTGATCTCCATGTGTTTGAGTTTCTTTCAAATTTCTTCTTGTGACTATGTTCAAGTTTCAAAGCATTGTGGTCTGAAAATATGCAGGGGGCAATCCCAATCTTTTGGCATTGGTTGATACCTGATTTGTGACCCGGTATGTGGTCTATTTTGGAGAAAGTTCCATGTGCTCTGAAGAAAAATGTGTATTCAGTTGCATTCAGATGGGAAGTTCTGTATAGATCTGTGAAATCCATCTGGTCCAGTGTAACATTTAAGGGCCTTGTTTCTTTGGTGATGTTATGCTTAGAATATCTGTCATTTGCAGAAAGTGCCATGTTGAAGTCTCCTACTATTAGCATATTATGATCTAAGTATGTCTTTACTTTAGTTATTAATTGATATACTTGGCAGCTCCCACATTAGGGGCATAAATATTCATGAACGTTAGCTCTATCTCCTGGATCTGAATGCCTGTTTCTCTCCGCAAATTAGGGGAGTTCTCAGCTTTGATTTGTTTAAATATGCTGTATGGCCCTCTGGCCCTCTCTTGGAACCCCAGTTATACATAGATTCTTCCTTCTGAGTCTGTCATTTATTTCCCTTAACCTTTTCTCATGGTCTTTTAATTGTTTTTCTCTTTTTTCCTCATCTTCCTTCCTTGCCATCAACTTGTCTTCTATGTCGGTCACTCTTCCACCTCACTAATCCTCATTTTTAGGACATCAAGTTTGGATTGCATCTCATTTAATTGATTTTTAATTTTAGCCTGATTAGATCTAAATTCTGCAGTCATGAAGTCTTTTGAATCTTTTATGCTTTTTTCCAGAGCCACTAGTAGCTTTATAATTGTGCTTCTTTTTTTTTTTTTTTTTTTTAAGATTTTTATTTATTTATTCATAGAGACAGAGAGAGACAGGCAGAGACACCGGCAGAGGGAGAAGCGGGCTCCATGCAGGGAGCCCGATGTGGGACTTGATCCCAGGTCTCCAGGATCATGCCCTGGGCTGCAGGTGGCCCTAAACCACTGCACCACTGAGGCTGCCCTATAATTGTGCTTCTGAATTGGCTTTCTGACATCGCATTGTAATCCATATTCTTTAACTCTGTGGCAAAGATTACTGTTTCTGATTCTTTCTTTTGTCGTGAGTTCTTTCTAGTCATTTTCTTCGGTGTAGAGTGGCTGTATGAGCGGGCTGAGTCAAGAATATCAAGCAGAACCTAAGTAAATTTCACCCTAGATGATTCTGCTGAGGTCAGAGACCAGAAAATGAAAACAAAGATCAGAATGAAGTAAAAGAAAAGGACCACTAAAGTTAAAAACAAATTTTAAACCAAAGTTGTAAAAAATTAAAGGCTAAGGATCCCAAGGAAGCAGAAAAGAAAAGAGAAAAAAAAAGAAAAAAGAAAAAGAAGGAAAAAAAAGGTGGGGGGGGGGACTTGGAGATGGTGGTGGTGACAAAGTGGAGGGAGATTATAGTCTACCTGAGGGGGTCCTAGAGGGTGGTCCTCTTGGTTCTGAGTCTATTAAGTTCTGTACGTTAGAACATGCTCAGTCCCACATTTATATAAACCAGAATTACTTGTAGAGAGCCCCAACATTGACCACCAAATCATAAATGAGATAAAAGAGGGGGGCAGAATGGGAATGAAGAGAGAATATAGTCTCACAGAATGAACCAGCACGGTATACCACTTGGTTCTGGGTGCATGCTGGTCATGCTTTAGAAGGTATGAACTTCTGCCATTGGAGAACAAAATGAGGCAGAGAAACAGAAAACAGAAAGCAAAGCAAAAAAACATATCTTGTATATCTCCCAAATTTAATTGAGTATGTTGAAGGGAATCTAGAAGTGGAAAATATATCTAAGGCCTGTAATTGTAGAAATATGAAAGTCAAAAAGGAAGAAACTTAAGAATGAAGAAGTGGTAAAATATTGTAGTTAATGTTAGAAAAAAATATTGGAAAGTTTTAGTCTGATATAAAAATGAGTTTAAAAAAAACAAAAAAACAAAAAACAAAAAAACAAGGGCGGCCCAGGTGGCTCAGCAGTTTAGCACCGCCTTTGGCCCAGGCATGATCCTGGAGAGCCAGGATTGAGTCCCACGTTGGGCTCCCTGCATGGAGCCTGCTTCCCCCCCCCCTCCCTCATTAATAAATAAAATCTTTAAAAAACAAAAAACGATTTGTACTGGAAAGGGGGGATAAAAAGGGGGGAACTCTCTAGTTCTATATACTATAAATCCGTCTGTTTCCCCTGGAGCTTTCCAGCACTGCTTGGTGAAGAGCTTGCTCTTCCCCTCTCCTTCCACCTGGTCTTCTGAGGAGGGGTCTGCTGTGCTGATTCCCAGGTGTGTGTACCTGAGGGAGCTTCCCTGCTCCCTGCCAGTTGCAGGGCTCAGTGGGAGCTATTTACCCTGGGAGGCCTCCATTCCCTGGCGGCCCGCCCCTCCCAAGCACAAGGTGAAACTAGGAGGAACAACAACAGTGACCACCAGGTCTCCACCTCTGGAATCAGCTCCCCAATAGTAATGAATGCAGTCTTCTAGTCCGCAGTGGTCTGGATGCTCCTGGGGCAGGGCAGGGGCGCTGATCTGCACAGCTTGGGGGCGCCTGGGGGGGGAAGGAGAGTCCTCGCTGTCCTGTGCCCTCCCCGCCGCCACCTGTCCCGGGGGAAGTGTAGGATCGTGGGCTGTGTCCGCTTGGCACCCTGTGATCCGGGGCCCTGTGTTGCTGGAACCATGCACCCAGTGTCCGAGGCTTCTGAAAGCAGCAGGGTGTAGAAGTTTGGAATCACCCGCCTAACCGACTGGCTTCTCCCAGATGCCCTGCCAAGCATTGGTGGTTCAGTGGTAGAATTCTTGCATGCCACATGCCCTGCCAGATTTGCACTCGAGCCCTTTACTGAGATCGGTCCACAGTTTGTGTTGTGCTTTCCCCTGGGTGCACGTCCTGTATTAGTGACTCCGGGAAACTGGAGGCTTCACTGCCCCTCCCGCAATTCTGCCCGATTTCCCTGCTAAGCGCTTTTCTGTCCGGTAAAAATCTGGTGCAGATTTTTAAAGTTCCCGCTTCTCTGGGGCTGGGCTTTCCTGTCCCGGAGGCTTTCACCCAGCTCCTCGTGGCCACCACTTGGTTCTTTTTAATTTTTTTTCCACCTTCCTACCTTGCTAGAACCGAAAACCCTTCTCTGTAGTGTTCCAGCTGTTCTCTCTTTAAATCTCAGGTGGAATTCATAGCTGTCCAGGATGATTTGAAAGTTATGTAGGTAAGTTGGTGGGGCCAGGTGAGTTGAGGAACCTACTCTGCCATCTTGCCCCATCTCCCTTATTTATTTATTCATGAGAGACACAGAGAGACAGAGACAGACATAGAGGAGGCTCCCTACCGGGATGCAGAGCTTGATGCTCCATCCCAGGACCCCGGGATCATAACCTGAACTGAAGGCAGATGCTCAACCACTGAACCACCCAGGTGCCCCTCCCTTACATTTATTTTAAAATTCTCTGTGACATTACATATAGATCATCATTTCCTTTTGTAAGAGCTCCATCGAATTATGCTGCAGTGGGAATGGGCCATGTATTATTGAGCTCTTTCTCCACTGATGGGGATTTAAGTCTCCCCATGCCTAACAGCTGATAACACCTAGGGTTTTCTATTTGCTGCTCTCAGGCCTCTCAGCTTTGATCTGCTGAAATTTCATATTCTTTTGATACACAAATATATTTAATTTTTTTAAGTTACTGATTAAAATTACTTATGAATTTTATAGGTGATGGGGTGGAATTTTAGGTGTGCTTAATTCAACATTTGAAAAGTTTTGTTATGTGACTTGTATCATACTGTATGTAATTATATAGTTTGAACAACGTCTCTATAGGAAGAATGTACCATAATCTTCTTTAGCTATTCTCTTATTGGTGGAAATTCAGGTTGTTGAGCTAGTCACTTTTACAAATTTTGAAACAGTGAACAACTCTGCACGTCTATGGATATTCTTATCTTGTTGATTTTTGGTGATGTATTTAGTACTTTTTTACATTCTCTTAGAACAAGTTCAATCTTATAATTACCTTCCTGTCCTAATCTCTTTTCTTTTTCAGAGATAATCAATTTGGCATATGTTCTTCTAGATCTTTCTATGTACATTTGTCTACAGTCATTTATATCCTTAAAATGTTTGGTTTATTTGTCTGGGTAATCACATATATAGATTTCACACTATGTGACATTTCTGTTTTTCCCTTATGCCAAAAACATATTTGTAGTTGTATCTGTGGTAGTTTTATACATATATATCCATTTGTGGTTTTTTTGACTTTTTAAAAATTTAATTGAGTTCTAAATTACAATAAAATGCATCAATCTTAAGGAGACTATTTATATTCTTTTAGGTTCCTGGAACCAGTTCCAACGAGAGGGGTGGAGGTGCAGTTCCCCTACACACAACACAAAGGAGAGAATTAAGCTGAGCATTCACCTTAATTCTCCAAACTGGTAGTATACACTAAACTGTCCACCTAGAGATGGGGGACACTTTCCTGGAAACCAGCTGCACTTTGGTAGTCTGTCAAAGGGCTTTCTAGAAGTCGCCTGGTTAACATAACAAAAGATACCTTGCGGGGTCCCTGGGTGGCATAGCGGTTTAGTTCCTGCCTTTGGCCCAGGGCGTGATCCTGGAGACCCGGGATCGAATCCCACATCGGGCTCCCGGTGCATGGAGCCTGCTTCTCCCTCTGCCTGTGTCTCTGCCTCTCTCTCTCTCTCTCTCTCTGTGACTATCATAAATAAATAAAAATTAAAAAAAAAAAAAAAAGATACCTTGCTCACACTCATTAGAGGAAATTCCAGGGATTTTAGGAAGTCTGAGCCAGGAAACAAACCATGGATGAAGACCAAATACATATGAGAACTATGTTTTGGACATCTGAATGACTGAATATTCTTATAAGTCACAGAATTAGGTAATGCACTGAAGACAGATCAAAATCAAACTAAAGAATTCCGGAGCTCTAGAAGGTTCCATGTTCTCCCAATGGCCACTGTCATCCCCTCCCCCCTCCCCCCAGGGGTCACTGCTTTGTTTTATTGGTTTATTTCTGTTACATCTAACACCATAAATTTTGTTGTTTGTTTTTTTTTAAACTTAATATAATTGGAATTGTACAGTAAAGTGTCTGGCTTCTCTCAACATGGTTTGTCAGTGACCCCCAAGTTGTATGATAACAGTGTTGTATGACTGTTAGTTTATCTGCTGTATTCGTAGACATGGGCAGCAGCAACATTTGGGCTGTGTCCAGCGAATGGCTATTTGAATAACATTGTTATAAACATTTTTGTACACGTCTTTTGAGGGATACCAGTTCTCATTTCTTTTAGGCTTATCCCAGATTTCTCAGCCTCAACACTGTTGACATTTAGGGTAGAATTACTCTTCATTGTGAAGGACTGTCCCATGCAATATAGGATGTTGAGCAGCATCCAGATTTGGCCTTGGCCTCTCCCTGTGTAGCTACCAGCAGCACTAGCCCCATATGACAATCTCAGGTGTCTGTAGACAGTGCCAGACATCCCCTGGGGGTGCAGAATCTTGCTCATGGTTGACAGCCAGCTGGCATGTATGTAGGAGTGATAATGTTTGGTCATCGAGTGTATGTATATTTAAGTTTAGTATATACTACCGGTTTCGAGATTTGGCAAAACCACTTTATGTTCCCATGGCCAATATGTGAGTTCCACATGGTCTGCATCCAGGCCAACAGTTGTTTGTCACATTTGCTTTTTGGCATCTCCTCACTTGTTTTTTGTTTTGTTTTGTTTTTTAAGATTTTATTTATTTATTCATGAGAGACACAGAGAGAGAGAGAAAGAGAGAGAGAGGCAGAGACACAGACAGAGGGAAAAGCAGGCCCCATGCAGGGAGCCCGACGTGGGACTCAATCCCAGGTCTCCAGGATCACGCCCTGGGCTGAAGGCAGCGCTAAACCCCTGAACCACCCAGACTGCCCACATCTCCTCATTTGTAATGAAATCTCAAGTCCTTACCACCCCATGCCCACCCACAGTGGCTCTCCCATCATCTGCGGCTCTGCAGCACTAGCTCCAGGTTCAGAGTCTATGTTAAAGTGAACCCTGGCTGGCCTCAGTAATGGGCCCCTTAGTTTCTTGAAAGAAGACTAGGAATTTGCCTATTTTGGCTTTTTTTTTTTTTTTAATGGTGCCAGGCTCTCACTCCATTTGAGACTCAAGATGGGTTGAGCAGCTGCCAAGATGAAAGTTTACAGGGTCAGACCTTCCCATGTGTTTACAATTATTCTTTTCTTTTTTTTTTTTTTTTTTTTTTTTTTTTTACAATTATTCTTTTCATCTCTGGGCAAAATATATCCTGGATAATTTTTTTTTTTATGCAAGACTTACAACACCTGTTTCATCTTCATGTATAGATGCCTGTTTCCCTCTACAAGACTGGAAGCTTCTTGAGGGCAGAAGTTGGTTGTGTTCATCCTGAAGTTTTCAGGACCAAAACCAGTATCTGGCACATGGAAACACAAAAGTTTTTTGGTTTTGTTTTTTAAAGATTTTTTATTTATTCACTTGAGAGAGAGCACACAAGTGAGAGAATGAGCAGGGGGAGCGGCAGAGAGAACAGGAGAAGCAGACTCCCCACTGAGCAGGGAGCCCAACATGGGGTTTGATCCTAGGACCCTGGGATTATGACCTGAACTGAACCAGACGATTCACTGACTGAGCCACCCAGGCACCCCTGTTTTTGTTCTGTTTTATTCTGAAAGTCCGTGCTGACCTGGACACAGGAGGCAGTCCGAGGAACATTTCTCCTTTACCAGTTCCTGTACATCTGTTCCACGTCACCTAATGTAATAGCATCCGATTGAATGGGATGTATATTATTACAGGGATTATTGTCATTCAAGGATATATCTATGGAGTTCACCTGGGAAGAGTGGCAGTTGCTGGATTCTGCACAGAAGTACCTGTACAGGGATGTGATCCTGGAGAACTATAGCCACCTGGTGTCTCTGGGTAAGTGCTACTTCTCGTTGATCTCAGGTTGTGATTTATAAATCACCATCCCTTTTTCTTTTGTTTATCTACCATGAATTCTCTCTTTCTCTCTCTCTCTCTATATATATATATATATATTTAAGATTTTATTTATTTATTCATGAGAGACACAGAGAAAGAGACGCAGAGACACAGGCAGAGGGAAGAGCAGGCTCCATGAAGGGAGCCCAACGTGGGACTCGATCTCAGGTCTCCAGGGTCACACCCTGGACTGAAGGTGGCGCTAAACCACTGAGCCACCGATGCTGCGCCCTCCAAAGTTTTTAATGGTTATGGGCTTGAACCTTAGAGATCAAAGTTCATGGTCCCTATTTGGCCCTCATCCCCTAACTATAATCCTCCCCCAAGTGCAAGTGAGCAGTTAGGTTTTGTAGGTCTGGACCCCTTAGTCCCTAGCAGCGTGGCCCACATCCTTTGTGATTTTCCACTAACAGGGTATCATGGTACCAAACCTGATTTAATCTTCAAGTTGGAGCAAGGAGAAGAGCCGTGGATGATAAATGCCAAAGTTTCCCGCCAGAGCTATCCAGGTGGGTGAGCGGGAAGATGGGAGTGTGGGAATGAGCCAGGGCTGGCCATGGGGCAGTGGTGTGTGAAAACTCTACACTGGAGCCCTTGAACTATTGGGCGACTCGGGAGGAACTTATAAGCTAGCTCCTTGGGGAAGGACCATCTCTCTGCCCATGTTTGGGCTTTCTTCTCATGGGTCTCAGGGACTCTGCTTAGATGCTGGTTTCGGGGTTATTTTCCCTCCTTCCTGTGGTCATGGACCACCTCAGCCGTTCCATCCTCCAGAGAGATCTTCTCTCCTATCCCTTTGCGTGACTCACGCCTTCTACTTCCCATATGTGGACTTTCTCTCTTGCTTTCCACCGATAATCCCTCAGTCAGTCCTTTGCTCAACATCACTTTTAGAGATTACATTGCTTTCTTTTCTCTCCTTTTGAAATTAGCTTTTACTTTCTTGGGCACTTTCCTTAAATGGAATCTGAAACCAGCCCAGTCTCACCTGTGTCATGAAGTGATTTTTATCACCTTATATTTCCTGGCTCCTCTTTCCTTTGGAGTCATCCAGAGGGGTCTATTTCCCAAATCTACCTGTTTTCTCACCAGTACTGTAACAGCTGAAAGGCTTTTCCACTTGGGAGATTTCAGCTTTTTTTCTCCCATGTTGTAACATCCCATGGGTATCCTCATCCTCTTTTCTTCTGCACTCCTGTCCCTCAGGTTAAATGCATGTAAAAGATCCCCAGGCTTCCTCAGTAGCAGAAATGCAAAGGAAGTGTTCGTCTCTGGCTTCCTCACTTTCCTTATTATTGCTGTTGCACTTGTAGTACCATATCCTGGGCTCCCAGGCTCACCTCCGTTGCTAATCTTAGTGCTGCTTCTGTTTTGGCCAGTATTTTATCCTTTGGCAGTGTCTTCATAGCTCCTGTCCCCTCAGTTCCCAGACTAGATCAGTGTTCTTTCAGGCATGGGTAACTCAGATTCTTAGCCATAATTGAGAACTCTACAGTCTTCTCCTTAGCTATTCCTGCTGGATTTGCTTTTATATGCGTCCTGTCACTTTCCAGAGGGGTGGATGAAGGTAGCAGTCATCAGTTATACACTGTCCTCTTTGAGAAAAAAAAAATCAAAGACTTCTTGCCCTAGCACTGGCACACTTTTCCTTCTCATTCCAGTCTTTTCTCTTTGTCCTACATGGCCACAGATGGCTTGAGGAGAATGGCCCCTGTTAGTTGGTGCAGATTTGGGCATATTTGGGGCTAAAGAAACATAGGCTGTTATCAGATCAGGCTTAAGTTCCCTTCAAAACTCAACAAGAAAACAAAAACAAAACAAAACAAACAAACAAAAAAAAACAAGCAGGACACGTGGGTGGCTCAGTTCAGCATCTGCCTTTGGCTCAGGTGCTCTTTCACTATCTTGGTCTCTGCCTCTATCTCTCTTTCAAATATATATATATATATATATATATATATATATATATATGTAAAATTTGCAAACAAACAAAAGACATCTAACAAGCTTCCAGTAAGTCTTCTTTTTTTCTAATTCTTTTAAGCCAATACCAACAACCAACAGTTGTCTGGACATGTCTTCAAGCCTGAGAAGTCCTTTTCTAGCCACTGGTCTTGGTATTCCCACCCCTTTCCTGGAGTTTAGTGGCCCCCGCTTTGAGGCACAAACCATAAGGTGAATTGTTCCTACATAAGTGGTTAGAAAGGGTTTATGAGGAGGATCCTGAGGAAGAGGAGAGCTCCTGGCAGCCCCCCAGGACAGCTGTGGTGACATGCCAGGGCTGTGCCCCTGATGAGTGCTCCTTTCCTGCTGCCCTGTGGGTATCACACTCAACATCATGGTCCTGTTGAGCCTTGTTGTCCAGTCTCAGTGTCATCTGCTCACCTTCCTCGGAAAGTCTCATCCTTCATAGAATTTAAGACTCTTTACGTGTTGTTGACGCCAGCTTTTTCCTAAGCACTAAACTTTAGTCTGTCTGCCTCTCCATTTTTCTCCTCTCCATTTGGATTTTTAGCTGAGATCTCAAGTGTAATCAGATCCAAAACAAAGTCCTTCATTTTTCTTCCAAACATTCTCTTACTCAGAGAGCAGCACCCCTGTTTCACAAGCCTAAAATCTAGAGTTCTTAAAGCATCCCCATCTCTCGCTTTCTTCATCCAGTCCTTTGGTAGATTTTCTTGGTTCTTTTCAGATATACTCTGATGTCTTCCTGCACTACTACAAGGGCTTTCTCATTTGTCTTTTAGCCCTTTTCTTATTCATTTCTTACAAAACAGCCAAACATCTTTTAAAAGCACAACACAAATCAAGATGTCCTCTAATTGAAACCCCTTGGTTAAGATGAGAACTTTTTGCTGCCTATTTGGTTCCTGCCTCACTCTGTTCACTCAGTGAGTTTTAGCGTTAGCCTTTTTTCAAAATATTTCTTTTTTTCTTTCTTTCTTTTTTATTTTGTAGGCTCCACACCCAATGTGGGGCTCTTGATCCTGAGATCAAGAGTCACAGGCTCCACCGATTGAGCCTACCAGACTTCTTATTTCTTTTTTTAAAAGTGTTTGTTTGGGGATCCCTGGGTGGCTCAGCGGTTTAGTGCCTGCCTTTGGCCCAGGGCCGGATCCTGGAGTCCCGGGATCGAGTCCCACGTCGGGCTCCGGGCATGGAGCCTGCCTCTCCCTCCTCCTGTGTCTCTGCCTCTCTCTCTCTCTCTCTCTCTATGTCTATCATAAATAAATAAAATCTTTAAAAAAAAATAAAAGTGTTTGTTTGTTTGTTTATTTGAGAGAGAGAGAGAAAGAGATAGCGACAGAGCTAGCAAGAGGGAGCACAAGGGGGGAGGAGAGAAGTAGGCTCCCCACGGAGCAGTTGGGGCTTGATCCCAGGACACCATGATCATAACCTAAGCTGATGGCAGATACCCAACTGACTGAGCCACCTAGGCACCCCTCATGTTTTCTATTACTTAACTGTGGCAAGCAGGTGTTCCCTTCTCAAGAACTTTGTATGTGTTTTTCCATCTGTTTGGAATGTCTTGCCCTTAATTTTCCTATGGCTAACACAGTCTTACTTTCAATGTCTCATTGTACCTATCTGAATGTTATACTCTGGTTATTCTGTATACTCAAAATTCATTTTTTTGAGTAAACACCTATAATAATAACATTCAGATATAAGATAAATGGCTTTGGCTCCTAATTGCAGGCTAAGATTTTTGAGCCTCTTGTTTTGTTTTGTTTTGTTTTGTTTTGTTTTTCTTTCTTTCTTTCTTTCATTTATTTTTTTTTTGATAGAGAGCAGGAGCACAGCATAGGAGAGTGGCAATGGGGCAGGGTGGGGGAGGGGCAAAGGGAGAGAGAGAATCTCAAACAGGCTCCCCACTGACCACAAGCCATCAGACACAGGGCTCGATGTTACAACCCTGAGATCATGACCTGAGCTGAAACCAAGAGTTAGTCACTCAACCGACTGAGCCACCCAGGTACCTCTAAGCCTCTCTTTTAAAAACCATTTTTGATCACTGCTATTTGCGACCCATTTCCATAATGGGATTTGGTTTGACTCAGTTCCTTGTGCTCCAAAGCTCAGATATATGGCACATGTAGGCCTGGCCAGTATTTCTTTTGAGCCAGTGTCTGAGGCCTGTTATCAAGAAAAAAGACTCATTACATGGCAGTCCTATAGCTCTCTTAATCCCATATCAGCTACATTGATGATTAAAAATACATATACATGTATATTTATTTTTCCTAGAAGGTTGGAAAGAGTGGTACCAGAAAAGTCAAGATGAGTTTGAAAATGTCGAGAGAAATTATGCTTGTGGCGCGTTTGGAAAACGTCATCTGAGCAGAATCCATGTTTCTTCAAGACAAAGAATCCATAAGTACAACACACATGGAAAAAGTCTGACACAAAACTCAGGTTCAGCCAAAAGCTGTCTGAGAAAAAATCCTGATAAATTCCATGGATATGAAGAATCCTATTTTCTTAAGCATCAAAGAGCTCACAGTATAGAAAAGAACTGTGTGTGTAATGAATGTGGAAAAGCTTTTCGTTGTAAATCACAGCTGATCGTCCATCTCAGAATTCACACGGGAGAGAGACCTTACGAATGCACCAAGTGTGAAAGGGCGTTTAGTGCCAAGTCAAACCTTAACGCTCATCAGAGAGTCCACACAGGAGAAAAGCCCTACTCCTGTAGTGACTGTGGGAAGGTATTCTCCTTCAGGTCACAGCTCATCGTCCATCAGGAAATTCACACAGGAGGGAAACCTTATGGCTGCAGTGAATGTGGGAAAGCCTACAGCTGGAAGTCACAGCTTATCTTACACCAGAGAAGCCACACAGGAGTGAAACCTTATGAATGTGGTGAGTGTGGGAAAGCCTTTAGTTTGAAGTCACCATTTGTTGTACACCAGAGGACTCACACAGGAGTGAAGCCTCATAAATGCAGTGAATGTGGGAAAGCTTTTAGGAGTAAGTCATACCTCCTGGTTCACATCAGAATGCACACAGGGGAGAAACCCTATCAGTGCAGCGATTGTGGGAAAGCCTTCAACATGAAGACACAACTTGTTGTTCACCAGGGAATCCACACGGGAAATAATCCTTATCAGTGCAGTGAATGTGGGAAAGCCTTTGGTAGGAAGGAACAACTTACCGCACATCTGAGAGCACATGCAGGTGAGAAGCCCTATGGGTGCACTGAGTGTGGGAAGGCTTTCAGCAGCAAATCATACCTTGTGATACACAGGAGAACACACACAGGAGAAAGACCCTATGAATGTAGTTTCTGTGAGAGAGCCTTTTGTGGGAAATCCCAGCTCATCATACACCAGAGAACGCACTCAACAGAGAAGCCATATGAATGCAGCGAATGTGAGAAAGCCTATCCCAGGAAGGCGTCACTTCAGATACACCAGAAAACTCACTCAGGAGAGAAACCTTTTAAGTGTGGTGAATGTGGAAAGGCCTTCACTCAGAAGTCGTCCCTCAGTGAGCATCAGAGAGTTCACACTGGAGAAAAACCATGGAAATGCTCTGAATGTGGGAAATCTTTCTGTTGGAATTCAGGGCTTCGTATACATCGAAAAACTCACAAGTGAAACATTAGAAGGAAGTAGATGTTAAGAACTTTCTCACCGACATGGATCCTCAGGAGACTTTAGGTGATGTTATAGATGGGATGCACAAGCAGGAAGTCCTAAAAACAGAGTTAGAGACCGTCCTATATGGAATGAAGGGGCAAAAGCTTTCAGAAATAAGTCCTATGAGTCTCTGTGGACGAGACCTGAGGGAATGAGGAGCAGTAACTATGAAATGAGGTAGCATCATTATAAAGGTAAAATCTGGAGAATTCATATCTAAAACTTTCCAAATTTAATAAATCAGGAAAGCATTTTCCCATATGAAATGTGTTATGTGTGGAGAGTCACATTCCAGATTTGAAGCTATGTTTTAGAGTGAAGAAAACCTCAACTTTAAATGGTAGATTTTTTTCATGATGGAGTATAAAGTTGTGTTTTATTTTAAAATGTAAATAAAGCAGCAGTCAGGAAAACAGCAAGAAACATATTCTCAAGGTTAGGGGATATTTAGTGTGACTTTCCTGAGTAACAATAGCATTTTTAAAAATTTCAGTATTTTATTTTTTAATGTAACTTGTTACACATATATTTGGTAGTTTGTGGAATAACATCTCCTAATATTCTCCATATTAAATGATAAATATCAGTTTTGTCTCATTATTTCTTAGCAACCAAAGTAATGTGGCTTTTAATAACGGGAAAGATACTATTCCCAAAATGAGTTTACTTACTCAGCAGTCTATGTAGTGGGTTTGGCATTTATCAGAGGGCTGCTGTGTGAGAGAAATCAAAATGAAGGTGGATTATATTTTAGCAGTTCAGAGTCTGTTCTTCACTGATGAGTAAGAGCACTCTGGTTTTCTCTGGAGGAGCACCTCTCTGATATGTGCATCTCTGGATTGATGTCTTTCAGGGCACCTGTTCTACCAGCCACAGGTGAGCATTATGCCCACTTCCGGGTCATGGTAGCCTCTTTCCTGGATTCTGAGTCTTTGGGTATAGTATGAACCAGAGGTATCTGTGGCACTCACTCACTCTTGCCCAGAATTAAGGACCATCAGTTCGCTCCTGCTGTACTGGTTTCCCAGAATAACTGGGTGCCATCCCTCTTTGAACCTGGTTTTCTGCCCTGTGTCCTTCTTCCTCTCCAATAAAAATGGGTTTTTTGGTTTCTTTTTTTTCCTGCTAAAGTTTAGGAGAGTGAATTTCTATCTCCTATTACTGAAGGGTCTTTAACTGATAAATTGCTGCTGGGGAGTAATAGATAAGTAACAAAAGAGGCTTTGCTTTATTCCCGAGGCAAGAAGAAAATCAGATTCTTGTCACATTCCAACATGGAAACTTCAGCCCATAGTATGAAGTAGCATTATTGCTTGTGTATACCAAGAACCTTGTGACCCCTGATGATAAGACTCTGGGAACACCAAAGGCTACTGCCATGGAAGGGTTTTTAATTTATGAGTAAATCTGACACAGGAGATGGGATGGCTACTTCTGTTCGCTCTTAAACACAACAGTGACAGATGTGAGGCTCTGAAATCTCATCCCAAGGAAAAGCATTAACTGTGACATTGCTAAATTCACCATCTACTTCACATGCTCGCTAATCCCTTATATGAACATCTGTTGATCTAGAAAAAGTAGTTTGTTGACAGTTCATGTGGGGAGATCTGACAGAAGTCCGAACTCAGCCGGGCAGACACCTGAGAAACTGTGCTGGATGCTCTTCACTCAGAAGCACATAGCTTAGGGGATCCCTGGGTGGCTCAGCGGTTTAGCACCTGCCTTTGGCCCAGGGCGATCCTGGAGTCCCAGGATTGAGTCCCGCATCAGGCTCCCTGCATGGAGCCTGCTTCTCCCTCTTCCTGTGTCTCTGCCTCTCTCCTCTCTCTCTCTCTCTCTCTCTCTCTCTCTCTCTCTCTCTCTCCCCTCTCTCTCTCTATCATGAATAAATAAATAAAATCTTAAAAAACACACACACACACACGTAGCTTAGATGTTGCCAGCTCTCAGGTCAAATACAACTTATTTGTATGGACAGAAGCCAAGAAGTCTTTATGTTTTTAAATGGTTGCAAAAAGATCAAAACTACTTCACCAATTGAGAATATTATTTGAGGGCAGCCCAGGTGGCTCAGCGGTTTAGTGCCACCTTCAGCCCAGGGCCTGATGATCCTGGAAACCTGGGGTCCAGTCCCACGTCGAGCTCCCTTCATGGCTCCTGCTTCTCCCTCTGCCTCTCTTCCTCTGCCTGTCTCTCTCTCTCTCTCTCTCTCTCTCTGTCTCTCATGAATTTAAAAAAATAAAAAATAAAAATCTTTTAAAAAATCCAAAGGTTTTTAAAATATATATATTATTTGAACTTCAAATTTTAGCATCCGCCAATCAAGTTTTATTGGAACATAAGGAGACATTGTGTATTGTCTAGTGGTTTTTTTTTTTAATCTTTTTTTAAATTATTTATTTATGATAGTCATACAGAGAGAGAGAGAGAGGCAGAGACATAGGCAGAGGGAGAAGCAGGCTCCATGCACCGGGAGCCTGACGTGGGATTCGATCCCAGGTCTCCAGGATCGCGCCCTGGGCCAAAGGCAGGCGCCAAACCGCTGCGCCACCCAGGGATCCCTGTCTAGTGGCTTTTGCACTAACTACAATGGCAGAGTTGTCGCTGTTGCCCAGAAATGTGCCATACCCTAATGTGGAGCCCCTTACCCTCTCTGAAAAAGTGGACCATGCCTTTCAGGAGGCAGCTTATTCTGCCAACACCTCAGGACTCATTACTACCAACTCTGTGCCCAAATTTCTTAAAAGGATCCCATTTATTGGGTGAGGTCTCACCCTAATTATCTCATTTTCACTTGATTATCTCTGTAAAGATCCTATTGCTAACTAACTTCACAGCCTGAGGTGCTGGGGGCTAAGAATCCAATACATCCTTTTTGAACAGATGTAATTAAACATCTAAGTTTGCCCCCTTGCACCCCCATCCATGTCCTTTCACATGCAAAATACATTCACCCCAGCCCAACAAGCCCAGAAGGCTTCATTCTTCCAAGCATCAATTCCAAAATCCCAAAATATCATCTAAATCATAGGTGTATGAGATGGGTATGCTTCATCCTGGGGCAATATTCCTCTCCATTTGGGAATGTGTGAAACCAGACAGGTTACCTGCTTCCAAAATACAATGATCAGACAGGCATAAAGTAGACTCTCCCGTCCCAAAAGGGAGAAATCAGGACAAAGGGTTGTGAGTCTCAAGCAAGTCAAAACCTAAGGGCAAATTCCATTAGAGTTTAATAAGGCCTTGGCCAAATGCTCTGACTATGAGCCCACTGGGGGGTGGCCCTGCCTCTCATCCTGGATGGTGGACAAATCTCTGAAATTGAAAGGTGGCTTCACCCTCTGAGACCAAGGAGGTGGCTCTACCCTCGGGGTCATTCTTCCTTTCTCTTTAGGGTTGGCCTGTATGCACATCTGAGTTCTGCTGGCCTATTTCCTGCCTGTAGAATCCTGGACATCCAAAGACTTGTCTGTCCTCTCCAGTCCAAGTTGGTAGCATTTCTGCCGAGATGGTTGACACCTAATCTCTTTTTCTGTCCAGAGCATGCTTTTTCACTTTTTGTAATATGGATAATCTGAGAGTCTTCCAAATTTTCAAAATCTAGTTCCTTTACACTTAACAATTCATTTTTCAGTTATCTCTCTGCCCTCTCATATTGTACTGTTAGCAGCAAGAAGTCAGGCCATGCCTTCAGCACTGCTTGAAATCTGTTCAGCTGAACATTCCAGTTCATTATAAGTTCTTTTTACAATAAAACACAGTTTAGCCAAGTTTTCTGTCACTTTATTACAAAAATCATGTTTTCCTCCAGTTTTCAATAACCTGTTGTTCACTTCTCTCTGACACCTCATCAGAAGTACCTCTGAAGCATTTCTACCAACAGTATCTTCAGGGCAAGCCAGGCTTTCGTATCAGGTGCCTCAAAACTCCCATCCTCTACCACATCCAAACCCTCTTCCACACTTTTAGGTATTTGCTACAGCAGCACCCTATTTTCCAGTACAGAAATCCTTATTCGTTTGCTAGGCTGCCATTACAAAGTACTCCAAAATTAGTGTTTTAAACAACAGCTGCTTACTGTATTACAGTTGCAGAGGCCAGAAGTCTGACATCACGGCACCAGCAGACTTGGTTCTCTCTCAGGTCGCTCTCTTTGGCTTGTAGATGTTCATCCCTTTGTCTCCACATTTTCTCCCACTGTGTGTCTATATTTGTGTCCAATTTCCCCTGCCCTTTCATTAAAGATTTTATTTATTTGAGGGAGTGGGCATATACAAGTTGTTAGGGGCCAAGTGAGAAGGAGAAGCAGAGTCCCCAATGAGCAGGGAGCTCAACATGAGGCTTGATCCCAGGACCCCGAGATGACCCAAGCTGAAGGCAGATGCTTCACTGACTGAGCCACTCAGGTGCCGTGAAATTTTTGTAAGGATACCAGTCATACAGGCTTAGGGCCCATCCCAATAACCTCACTTAAACATGATTATCTCCATAGACTCTATCTCTGAATAAGGTCCCATCCTGGGGTGTGTGGGTTGGGATCCCAACATCTCTCATGCAAGGATACAATCAGCCCATAACAACAAGGAAATAGCTTGAACACTATAAACCTTGACCTAACACACCTCTATGGAGCACTCCACCCAACTATGGCAGAATGTACATGTTTTCAAGTGTGCAGGGAATATACAGTGTAGACCAAGGGACAGGTCACAGAACAGACATCAAAAATTTAATGATGGGGTCTTGTCAAAAGGATACTGCAGCCAGCTTAACACTGGCCAAATCTGGAATAGAGCATCCAAATAAATAATGGTAGTAGGTTATTACCAAAAGAATAAAATAAGTCCATGGATCCATATTGATATAAATATGTAAATATATAAACAAAGAGAAGGGAAAATTCTTCTTCAAAGTAAAATATCACTTAATACATAAGAAAAGTCACCACTTGGTAGCCAGCACAGTAATACTTGTGTTAGGCAAGAATCATCCATGAATGCTAAAATTAGGTGGGTGAAAGGGTTATAAAGGAATATTCAATTAATCTTAAAACATCTTCCCATGAGATACTTATTAATTACAATTGGGAAAATAATAACTTTACAAAAGAGAAATATGGCATTTACCACCTTAATTAAGCAATCAAAATTATTGCTATTATAGGTACAAATAAATATGGAATTCTCAATAGGATCTCTGAGAAAGACACATCACTTCTTTAGCATTCCTGCCAAAAATGCATAACCTGAATCTAAATCAGGACACATGAATCTAGAAAACCCAGGTTGAGAACCATTCAGCATGAAAACGGCACTTTTGGGATCCCTGGGTGGCGTAGAGGTTTGGCGCCTGCCTTTGGCCCAGGGCGCGATCCTGGAGACCCGGGATCGAATCCCACGTCGGGCTCCCGGTGCATGGAGCCTGCTTCTCCCTCTGCCTGTGTCTCTGCCTCTCTCTCTCTCTCTCTCTCTCTCTCTCTCTGACTATCATAAAAAAAAAAAAAGAAAACGGCACTTTTAAAAAATGTTGAGGTCATGAGAGACCAAAAGACTGGTCCAGTTTAAAGGTAACTAAACAGGGGTG